TATAATCTACAAATAAGTCTGTGCATAATATATTCCTTTTTTTTTTTTTCTTTCTTGGCTATAGGGTGTGTGCACTCGCTGGAGACAGAGGGTGGGAAAATGAGAAAAGCACCCCCTCGCAGGAGGATGGTCACATCACAATCCTTTCTCTTTAATTATCCTCTTGGGATTTGGGGTACACACATGCTCCTGGCCTGTTTTTCGAGCCTCCAGGTCCAGGACTTAAACCACACAGTCGGCCATGTGGAAACCATCTGCCTTCATCTCCAGGCTATCTGTTGGCCTCTGTATATAATAAATCCTAATCAGCCTTAATTATTTACTTTAAATCATATTCTAGTAAAATCCAATCTCGAGTAAAACAATGGAAGTAAATAAATATGTGAGAGCTCTATCATTCCCAGGCATCAATAAGAATTTTTGTGATCTTACAAGTAAGATCACAAAATAAAACTAAAACCAAATAATGTACAATCACACATACACAAAACTGAGTAATAGTCTGACATTCAACTACATCAATCCTTGGTCCAGCCAAAGGTCTTTTTGCTTTTTATAACAGTGATGGTAAGAAAATCTCATTACTTCACACATTTTTTTTTGTTTTAAAAAACTTGACTAATCTAACCTCACCTAGCCTTGTCACAAACTTTTACTCAATTAAATTAAAAGAAATACGCATTAATTTCCAGCTTCTTTTTGACGAAGAGGACAAGCCAGTCAAACATTTAAGTTTTACTGTATTTTAAAATTCGACAAGACATCTAATTAAAAATATATATTCCTGGGGGCCAGCCGGTGGCATGGTGGCTTAAGGGTGCTGAATTCCCATATGGTTGATGGTGGTTTGAGTCCCAGACCTGGCAGCTTGCTTTCTCTCTCTCTTTACTTCTCTCCCTCATTCTGTGCCTCTATGGTCAAATTTAAATAAATAAATAAAGTTAAATAAAATAATTCTTTAAAAATATATATATTCCTTTAGAGGCTATGAAGAAAATCACAGCTATACAGATGTCACAGCTGATAATCGTTATATTCTGACAAATTATGATATGAATACATTTTTCTAGTTAGAATCCTGTTTATTCAATGAAAATTTGCACTTTTTTTTTTTTTTTGAGAGATTTGCACTGTAGGGCGCGTGCGCTCGCCAGACAGACAGAGACATAGAGACAGAAAGCGAGAAATCACCCCCCAGGGGGGATGGTCACGCCACAATCCCTTCTCCTCCATTCTCCTCTCGGGATCTTGGGCACGCACGCACACGCGCCCAGCATGAGTTTTAAGCCACCGGGTCCGGGACACGAACCGCGGTCGACTACGTGGGCGTCCAGCGACATAGCCATTACGCTAACTGCTGGTTCCCAAAATTTGCACTTTTTTAATATCCTTTTCACGTGCATGCACATGCACACAATGTACCCATTGCCTTAAACATAAAGAAAAATCAGACGGGTCAGCAGGTAGCATGAGGGTTGAGGCACTGGATTCTCACAAGGCCAACTGTGGTTCAAGTCCTGCACCTGACGGCTTACTTTCTCATTTTGTTTCTCTCTGGTGAACACATGTGCCCTATAGCCAAAAAAAAGATAATTAATAAAATAAAGTAACTCTAAAAAAAGAAAAAGGAAAATCAGAGACAGGTTTATCCTGTTTTCCAAAGGAGGTTAAAGGGGTACATACAGCCAGTTGGTGGCTAGGCAGTTAGAACCCATATGGCTGGTGTCTTGGTTTGAGTCCCAAGAAACATGCCTGATGTATGTGCATGCATGTCCACAATACCAAAAGGAGATGAAGAAGGGATTGCGGCATGGCCATTCCCATGGGTGAGAGATGCTTTCTCACTTTCCCTCTCCTCCCCGCCTCCAGCAAAAGCAGGCATCTTCTAGTCAAAAAAAAAAAAAAGGGGGGGGTATATAAATATCTACAATACAAGTAGAAAGCGTAAGTGCAATGTGAGATGTGCAGAAAAAGCTTTACAGAAGAGCAGAGAGAGCTGTTACTACCTCAAAGAAACATAACCCTTTCAATCTGTTTAAAGTAATCTCATAACTATTAACGCTCTTCAGGCTCACAACAGCCAACCCTAGGAGAACAGATGTTTTCCTAGTATTATATTGAATATGAGGAAACTGAAGCACAGAAAGGGTGATCTTGTTCCAAAATGTAACATAGTTAGTTACAGGAAGAATTATTATATTTTCTCTGAAGGAGTAGCTTAACATATGGCAAGCCTTTTGTAAAAGGAAAGAGTATTTTGGTAGTGCAAGTAATCACTTCCTAGTTGTGTATTTTATATATCTTTAGCTATATATATGTTAACCTTGATTTTGCATTAACAAATGTTAACAAGGCAAAGCAACTGGGCACTATAAATATTAAAATAAATAAATAAACATCCACTGGGTTTTAACAGAATGAGAAAATAACATACCAAGTTCTCCCCCAGTAACTTGTGGCTTCTTCTGTAATTTTCACCCTTGTCTAAACAAGATGGTAAAATTGGTCTCTTCTTGAGCCCAGCCAAGTACAAGCTGCTTCATCCAACAAATATCTTTATCAAAGAATACATCCCAACAATCTTCTAAAAACTATTAAAAAATAAATAATGCCATCAACACTTCAGTTATCTACAGGACAATCACCTGTGAACCAGCATCAACAACTATTATCAAGACACGCTGAATGAATGAATGAATGAATCTTTGTGAGCATTTTAAAACCTTGGGCCTGTAGCCATGTTCAGCCTCCTATTGCTGCCTCACCAGGAAGCACACACAAAAAATGTAAATTTCAATAAAATTATGATATACTTAGGGAAGCAAATCTGATGTGAGTGAATATAGTAATCCCGAAGATTAGAATGACCCATACCATGCTCCCCGAGGTTAACTCTGTACAAGAGGCACTGTGGCACGCACCATCTCAGAAAGGAAAGTGACACTTCCTGAGCAAATACTTTTTTCATAAATACCACTTCTTCCCATCCATTCCTTTCATACACGACTATTCCTGATCCAGAAGGGTCTCCTCTCCAGTGAAGGCTGATTCTCAAGCATAGTTTCCCAAATCCTTCTCTCCCCCAAAAAGAGGGGCACTCGCTGACTTCGCACGTGAAAACCCCAATAACACGGGCGGCAGGTGTTGGCTTCGGGTCGCGGCCACCTCCACCCCCAGCCTCGCCGCCCTGGGGAGGTGGCCTGCTAAGAAGGTGAACTCTGGCTCCTCACGCACTTGTCCATCGCTGTCACTCTCCCCAACCCTTTCCACACTCCCTACCCGGCCACCAACTCCGCCTCGGAGTGAGTGCAGGCCTGCCACCTGCGCCGGCCCCACCCGGGGCGCCCCGGCGCTCCCCTCGGCCTGGTGGGCCCAGCGGGATCCGCACGCAGCCTGGCCACAGGGCACCTCGGGCAGGCCGGCCCGGCCGCAGCCCATTCTTCTCCCGAACTCCCCAAGCCTCCGCTCGCCCTGCCCCAGCTCCCCGCCGCGCCGGACTCACCCTGGGCCGCCAAGGG